ATTCCAGAGGAACTCCCCATAAGTGTTTCCATCCGGCCCTGAGTTGAGAAAATGAAGTCCCCTGTTTTTAATTCACGTCCACTCTAATGTAATAAGGATAAATTCCAGTTGGACCCAGTGAATTATGGGTAATTAAAGATAATAAACAGCAAGGAAATGCCAAAACTTATCCAAACATGCAACAGTAAAATGGGGAAAACGCAGAAATATATGAAAACAATATTAAATAATTAATCAGACATTGTTCATTTATAATAATCAACTGTTCATAAACCAGTAGATAATACAAAACAATACAAATAACTGCTAACGTGTATAATTAATTAATTAAAAGTGGCAAATAAAGCGATTATATGGAAATAAATTGATTAATTTAAATGATACGACAACATATATGATCGTTTTACCATCTAATAAATTGAATTAGTTGTTGATTTAATAACATTTTGAATTAATTAAGAAAACACTGACCCAAAAAATACATGATTTCCTAAATGTATAAACTAAACATGTTTAAATTCATATAAATTGCGTGTTTTTTTCCGCTCTTAAGTCTCAAATAACTGCTAACGTGTATCATTAATTAATTAAAAATGGCAAATAAAGTGCATTATATGGAAATAAATGTATTAATTTAAATGATACGACAACATATATGATCGTTTTACCATCTAATAAATTGAATTTGTTGTTGATTTAATAACATTTTTAATTAATTAAGAAAACACTGACCCAAAAATTAGAAGATTTCCTAAATGTAGAAACTAAACATGTTTAAATTCATATAAATTGCGTGTTTTTTTCCGCTCTTAAGTCTCAAATAACTGCTAACGTGTATCATTAATTAATTAAAAGTTGCAAATAAATTGCATTATATGAAAATAAATTGATTAAATTAAATGATAAGACAACATATATGATCGTTTTACCATCTAATAAATTGAATTGAATTGAATTGTTGATTTAATAACATTTTTAATTAATTAAGAAAACACTGACCCAAAAAATACATGATTTCCTAAATGTATAAACTAAACATGTTTAAATTCATATAAATTGCGTGTTTTTTTCCACTCTTAAGTCTCAAATAACTGCTAACGTGTATCATTAATTAATTAAAAGTGGCAAATAAAGTGCATTATATGGAAATAAATGGATTCATTTAAATGATACAACAACATATATGATCATTTTACCATCTAATAAATTGAATATTTTGTTGATTTAATAACATTTTTAATTAATTAAGAAAACACTGACCCAAAAAATACATGATTTCCTAAATGTAGAAACTAAACATGTTTAAATTCATATAAATTGCGTGTTTTTTTCTGTTCGTAAGTCTCAAATAACTACTAAAATGTATCATTAATTCATTAAAAGTGGCAAATAAATTGCATTATATGGAAATAAATGGATTCATTTAAATGATACAACAACATATATGATCGTTTTACCATCTAATAAATTGAATTTGTTGTTGATTTAATAACATTTTTAATTAATTAAGAAAACACTGACCCCAAAAATACATGATTTCCTAAATGTAGAAACTAAACATGTTTAAATTCATATAAATTAAGTGTTTTAAGTCTCTGTAGCTCCTCTAAAAAGCCGGAATATGGACTGTCAGATCCAGATGAGTGGGTTTTTTTTGGCCGTTGAACAATAAAACCCGTTTTCTGGCCTGAACTCGACTTCCTGTTTCAGCAGTTTTTACTTCGCTTTGAACTCTGAAATCTGAAGCCGTTTGCTGTTTGTGGAAGGAAAAGCAAAAGGTCACATTTAATGCTTCAGAAAGGGTTTTTGGGCTGTTTTTCTTTTGAGTCCAGAGCAGTTTGAGTTGATATGAAAAGTATGAATACAGTAGAAACTCCACATGGGAATTTAACTTGTTGAAGTAGTTTTTAATTTAGTCAGGACAAAGCTCAGATATTCATACTTCCAGTAAAACGAGCCATTTTTTGGTGAAACGGTCCCAAGTTTGCTGCAAACTTTTTGGGTTACTATTAACTGACGGTTGGCTAACTGTTAGCTGACTCTTGGCTAACTTGTTCCTAACAGTGTGGTGATTGTTTGCAAATTTTTGGTTAACTGTTAGCTGACAGTTGGCTAACTTGTGGCTAACAGTTGGCTACCTGTTAGCAAACATTTGGGTTACCGTTAGCTGACTGTTGGCTAACTTGTGGCTAACAGTTGGCTACCTGTAGGCAAACTTTTGGTTAACTGTTAGCTGACGGTTGGCTAACTTGTGGCTAACAGTTGGCTACCTGTTAGCAAACGTTTGGGTTACCGTTAGCTGACGGTTGGCTAACTTGTGTTTAACAGTGTGTTGATTGTTAGCAAAGTTTTGGTTAACTGTTAGCTGGCGCTTGGCTAACTTGTGCCTAACAGTTTGCTGATGGTTAGCAAAGTTTTGGAGTACCGTTAGCTGACTGTTGGTTAACTTGTGGCTAGCAGTTTGCTACCTGTTAGCAAACCTTTGGTTGACTGTTGGCTAACTTGCGGCAACAGTTTGCTACCTGTTAGCAATCTTTTGGGTTACTGTTAGCTGACGGTTGGCT